ACACTACTAAGAGAATGTGATGTAATTTTAGTTACAACATGAAACTACTCGTAAATATATCACAAATTTTGAGTAAGTAAAAGCATCGAATTCTCTTACAAACTGTATATATGTTCGGTCCTCTTCTTGCAACTGTAGTGAAGAGACCATGCACTAAATCTTCTAATTTTGGGTGCTCGCTTACTGGAGGTTTGACTGTGCCGGCATCACACCGGGAATCCTAAAGCTTCACGCATTTTACGTATTACCAAACGGGTAATCACCAGGTGGATCACAACCCCCCCGGGGGGGGGGGTACTCTCTATAATAGCCTATACGGGGAGGCTCCGCCCGAAAGGAGTAACTTTTTCAGGCTTCAGGTGCGTAAAAGGGTAGGGAAATTACTCGTTGAAGTATGCGTAGGGAAATCTGTGATTTGGGTCTGTGAAAGGGCAAACAGATGCGCGCATTTTAAGGCGTTATAAAGTCGAGAAAACGTCCTATTTTTGTGACTGATTCCTATTTAAATGACAGTGAGTTTAAAGGGGTGCAAAGGGATGCAATGCACATTTCTAAACAAGGTATGTGAAAAGGGTGCCATTTGTCAATAAAAGGTATTGTTTGTCTTCACATGACGTCACTTAAATTCAAACTACAAAACTATCGATCCTACCCAGATTTTACTTTCACGATGTATCAGGGCAGCTGAAAACTAATTTTCACACAAATTTCCGCTTCAAAAAGGGTTTATGGTTTTGTTATAGAGTGCGCTTGAATTTCTAAGCTTTTGGGGGACGCGGCATTTACATGACGGCCAAGAGAGTTGTCATTTAGATTAAAAAAATAACTTATTTCAAGGAATTTTGCTATCTAAGCAGTTCATGTATTACAAAACGCATCCCTTTAATGTTTCTGAGTTCTGCGAAGAATAAATTCACGCTTTTGTAGCAAAACTCGGTAACAGATGTTTCTGTGGGTTTCCGTCCGCCATGTTGGAGCCCATCCAGGTGGGCACCAGCATGGCGTCTCCATACAAATCTCTATAAATTTGGGTAAAACCTTTCTTCGGTTATCTCGCATACGAAATATTCCTCCGACCTGAATCTTGTCGGGGGTCTTTGCATATTTTCCTCGTTTCATTTCCCAGATTCTGGACTTAATCTATTAAAGGGTTTTGCTTTTTATTTTGATCTACTTTGAATGGCGTGACACTGAAAACCAGCAATACGAAAGGGCTACCCTTTTTTGTTAAAAAAGGTGTATATTATGAAAAAGGGTATAAGGGGTCGAACCTCGGGTCGGAGCCTCTCCGCACAAAAATTCCTTGAGTACCCCCCTCCCCCGGGATCACAACCACCTGTGGCCTTAGAGTATTTTAAGAATGACTTAAAGTTGGACGCAATGTTCTCCCCTGCTGCGTTTCTTTCCTTCGCGCTTTAACTTAACCTGATGTAGTACCTGTTCTCAGTCTTTTTTCACGCGGGGCCGCTGTATGTGGGATTCACTTTTTTTTCTCTTGATATAAGAGATGAGAGCGCATTAACCTTATCAAAATATTTAATTTGTTCACTAGTACCTAACACAGTTTGAAGCCTGCGACGGTAAGTGGGATAGGAATTTCTTTTATAACGGCGACAGTAAACGGATAATTTCAATTGTTCCTTTGACGACCAGCCATTAGCTTGTTTGCTTGCGTGTCAGATTGAGTCTTCTATTCTACAAGAAGCTAATTATGATTTTTTTTGGTTCTGTGCATTCTCTCTTTTTTCTCTCTTCTAAAGTACCCATTTTGATTAACCTTCAGATAAAGTTAACTTTGTGGCTCCCTTCACAATTTACATTATTTACCTGTTTTAGTGCTTGGTAAGAAAAGACTCACAAACCTGTTACTGTCACGGGACGTCTTGTATCAATCACTGACTGATAATGTTACTCAGTAACATAGATACCTCCAATGTACATTAGAGAGACTAAGATTCACGTTTACGGCAAACGGCAAACGTGAATCTGTACCCGGCATGACCAAGTTTAGATCGTTTCCCCCCTTTATACTACTACATGAGAAATTTCTGCAATTTGATTAGCTTAGAGCAGTGGCATTTCAGCTTAATTTGAAATACCTACATGTGAACATTACAAACCTTTTGCGGGTAGCAGTATAAACAAATAATAGCATTTTTTGTACGTGATATTTGGCATAAATATCACTACAAATCATGCTATTACTCATACTAATCATAACTATAACAAAATTCTCAAATCTGATTGGTTCTCAACTGCCCTGATTTCAGCCTTAATAGGACAGTTTAATAGGACAGTACGCGTCATGCCTAAGTAATTGGACAGTACGCGCCATCACGCGAAATTCGGTCTGTAATCATACTCGTGATTAAACAAATCGGACTCCCGCTACGCGGTCGTCCGATTTTGTTAATCACTCGTATGATTACAGACCGAATTGGACTCCACTCAGTCCTGTTACCATTACAAATTGTCGTTTATTGTTTATTAATACACAGAAATGAGTAGTTTCACGCCACTTTTATTCATAAGAATTGTCCAGGACAGTCTATCTGCTTATTTTCTCCGAGAAATTCTCAACTTGAATCTGAAGTTTGCTGTTTGCCGTAAACGTGACTCTTAATCTCTCTATTCTCTGTCGTGTTCTTTATTTGCTTGCTTCTTTTGGTAGCTTTTCTCGAAGCCGGCAAACTAAAGCAGAATTGAAGAAATCTACCAACTGTTAGTTTCTCTGTAAATATTCATGGGCAAACCTACATTTAAACAATTCATTGCAAAAAAAGAATTTTCCATGGGCAAAGCAGTTTGATAAAACCACTAGGTCAGGCCGTGATGTGATAGGATAAGTTTAAAATGGATGAAACGATCTGAGGTAAACGCTGTTAATTCCAAGTAGTTCTTTTATTCAGTTCTTTGGAGTAACGAAATGGTAAACAATTTTTAAAAATTCGACAGGTTCAAACCACTCCTAGGACGACCGAACAGATCAAATTTTTTTAGCGATGCGAATTATCCATTTATATTTCTTTTAAAGCACTCCAGGATGCATAACGAGGCATTTCAGATCATTTCTCAGAAAAAGGTGGTTGAGTGCCCCTGAATCATGATAGTTTGTTCCATTAAATATAAAGAGGATTGTCACATCTATTCTATATAACAACTTCCACTGTCTTAGCTGCAGGTAGCCTGACCTTAACTGCATGCACTGCTTCAGGTAATGTCGATGAAGTCAACCGTTGTTTTACGGATGCAATAAAACAACTGAACCAAACATTATTAACCATGTGTGTTCCAAGAGTGACCAACATCAATTTTCTCCTACCAACATCAGTACACAGTCATTATTAAAGGTTATGAGAATTAAAAATGTTCACAAAAGAGAAATTGCTATGATCATTTAATATCAATTAATCTCAACACATTTTTTTAAGGAAATGTGCAGACTGTCGGTCTGGAAACTCTATGTGTGGATAGTGGGGCTTAAAAGATTGAAAATATGTATTATTATTTAGAACGCTGCAAATAATTGTAATATCTATGAAAATAACAAGTTCACGAGGGAAAAGTGCATCAATAGTACATGACTCCAAAATTTGAAGAGCTCAACATTATTTTTGCAAAAAAAAGCACGACGTCGGGTGTGCGATTTTCGCAATATAGTATCAGCCATAAAATACGAGACAACTGCTTCTGATGAAGGTCAGTGAGACATTATTATAGTCAATAAAATGATTAGAGATCTCACTTTCCTTCAAAATTTATTAAGCAGTTGCAAGTGATTGTGAAGAGGAATTTAGTTACCTTCCTCAAATTAATATGTTTTCCACTAAACATAGGAAATTTCACAGCAATAGAAGACCCCTCCCCCCCACCCCATAGAAGTGGGTTATGATGTAGTAAGTTTTTCGCATTCAATGCTCATATTTCGATTGAAAATGAATTAATTTTATGTATATTTTAAAATTATTATAAAATTTATAATTATTTTTAAAAAGAAATTAATTATCCTCACTAAAATAAAAATTCCTCCCACAAAACAAAGAAAATTAAACACAAAAAGAAGCCCCCCCCCCCCCCCCCCATAGAAGTGGGTTATGATGTAGTAAGTTTTTCGCATTCAATGCTCATATTTCGATTGAAAATGAATTAATAATGTGTAAATCAACATAAAGAAGACAGTTAACACTGATCATTCTGTTATAAACTGTTGAAAACTTAGTCTATCCAAGATGTGATTCGCCTTTCAAAACTCAGTTATACTAAACAGGAATTTTCACAGTTGCTACCTCTTCTTTAATCGTATTAGAATGTTACCTGTTAAAAATAAAGCAAGTGTTATTATTTCAGCATTCGTAACCAAAATTTAGCCCTACGTTTTAATTCATGTTCTTTTCTCTTAGTTTCTCTTTCAAATATTCCACAAAACGTACGAGAAGAAAAGCTCACAAAATATTACTGCTAACGGTGTGATATTTTTCCTGTTTTAAAGTAAGCTCTCCGGTTGATGGGCCCGTTTCTCGAAAGTCCCGATAATTGACGGGCCCGGTAAGCTGTTGCCGTTTACATTAAAGATCGAGGTTTCAATAGGTTTACATCTAACTTGATAAAACTATCAGTTAATGAAACAAAATGGAGTAGTTTGCTAGCCAGGACCCGCGCGCTCATCCTTTATATTTCGACTTAAATATTTGTCTTCGGGCCCTAAAAGTTTCCGGGACTTACGAGAAACGGGCCCCAGGTCTGACCCATTGTCCCAGATAGTCAAAGCAATCCTCTTTTTACAGTATCATGCTTTCTCTTATACCCTTGCTGATATATTTTTTTCTGAAAGCTAATTACGTTTTGTTCTTTGTCTAGGTTTTCAAACTAAGCCTCTGTAGAGTATGGAAGTTGGTCTGGTGGCCTTGTTCTATTCAGCTGCTTTCTTCTTCACGAACGCTATCATTTGTGCTAGAGCAACTGTGGGGGGACCTCAAGCCAATATGGATCCCAAAAGAGTGATGGTTCAAAAAGCACTCGACAGAGCGGTGGTTAGACATTTCGTGAGGAAAGGCTATAAAGAATTAAAAACCGCTTCACCAAAGACAATAACAGAAACGGATAGACCCGGAAGAGGAAAACTCGTCAAATTTGAATCAAGTGATCAAATTTCTTTGAAACAAGCGTTTAACTTTATGCGCTATTACCCCGTTCTATACGAGCAAGAAACTGAATACGCCACAGAATTCGAAATACCAATTGGAGAACAAATTGAAAAATTTAAGTTCAAAAATAAAGAGGACGGGACGTTTTCACTAGAAGTTGTACGTGAAGGAGGGAGTGTTGAAATAGATCTGTCTAATCTTCAGGAGACAGTTAAATTTCTTTCTGACACCACATCGAAGCATCCCTTTGTAATTGAAACGATAACAGATGCCTTTTTAAAGGCATTAGATGAGCGATTAAGCAGTCAGCCAGATTTTAAGACAGAATTACAAAATCGTGATCCAAAAGGTACAGTAACCCCGCAGGAGATGGAGAAGGCTTTTCAAGCAGGCAGAGAACTTTTGGCTGCAATTGTCATAAAAAGGCTCACTTTAGAGGAATTAAATCCTCCCGAATGGCTTCAGAAGACAAACGAAGGTATTGGTTTGAAAATGCAGCAGGTTAGAGAAAAGCAAAGCAACGAGATTGCGGATGAAGAAGAAACGAAACTAAAATTTGAGTTCACCCAGAGCATGCTTAAAACTAGTACGGAGGCTGTTGAGGAATGGGAAAATTTGAAGACTCAAAAGGTTATAATCGAAGAAAATGAAATGGGAACGGATAAAAAGGAATATTTAAAGGTGACAATCCACGAAACCGATAAGGTATCCCTTAGAGAAATATTTAAACTACTACAATTTTATCCTGAATTGTACAAAAGCCAGAGAGGAAAACAAACAAGATTCGAAGTCCAAATTGGGGGAAAAACAAGGAGATTCCGTTTGAGTAAAGCACCTTTGGGTGTAAACCAAGTGTTGGTTTATACTGCCAATGATGATTGGCCTGGCACTACGAAAAGAGGCACAAGAGGTAATCTGTGGGCACCTGATTACGATACTATGGTAGACGAAGTTCTTGCTAAATTTCCTGACCATGAGAAGCTAGCCAAAGCTATGCTCAATGCCGTCGACAGCAAACTCAACAGTCAACCTGATTTCTCAGCAGATCTGAAAATTCCGGGGGAAAGCACAGATCGACAGTCTGCTGACACTGTTCGAGCTACCGTAGAATTTATGATCATTTCCATGGTTGCAGAGGCGGCTCAACCTACCGATGAGTTTAAAGACACCTTCTTTACAGAGCTAGAAAAAACGATAGAGGAACAAAAGAGATTCCCAGAAAGTAAAGATATTCCTAAACTTGCTGACTTAAAAGGAAAAGCTGGGCGAAGTCCATCAATGGACGATGTTGTCGAAGGCATGCTCAAAAACGTTGGACCTGGTAGTAAAATAGATAAAGTGTTTAGCGAACAAAATTTCCCAGTAAGAAAGAAAGGTGGAACGCAGGAAGGGCGAAAACTGATACATGCAAAAGGAAGTGAACTAGTTCCTTCACATCTTATTCGCCAACGTTCCGCTGAAGAACACGATTTAAGTCTTCTCGACAACAAAGTCGAAGAAGAGTGCACACGGCGTCGAAGAAAACGCAATGCTTGCTCACTAAAGAATAGAAATTCTGCTACTATTGATGAGAAGTCTATCAAAATTACTGAGGACCGGGTTGAGTTTGACGTTGTAGACCGTCGTGATGCAAACCAACGACAGCATGTTCAGTTGCAAATAAGCCCTGAAGAGTTGGCTACTCCCAAACTTATTAAAGACAACCTATCAAATTCTCGACGAGCTGGTATGAGTGAGACCTACGCCAAGATAAATAGAGGTTTAGCAGTTCATGGTCTGATATTCTCCGTTCTTGCCGCTGGAAGATACTTTGAGGAAGGTGAAAACTTTAGAGGTGCCATGACTGTCGCCCAGTCCGCTCACACAGTTGGAGGTATAACTGGTCTCAATGAGATAGCCTCTAAAGTTGGTCAGCGAGTGCTAGGTAGTGCAGCTAAAGGGTTGGCGAAAGGCCTAAACTTAGAGAAAGGATTGGAGAGGTTATCCACTAAGGTGGAAAGGTTCGCAGAGAGGGGAGTTGGACAGTTGCTTGGTGCAGTTCCCGGGGTAGGACTTGCATTTGATATCTACTTTATTGAACAGGACATAGAAGAGTTGGCCAACTTAGATCTTAATAACCCTGAGGACCTCAAACTGTTGCCTCTTCGTGTAATAGATTTAACACTGGACGTGAGCACGACGGTACTGAACCTGGTAGGAACATTTTGTCCTTTAGCAGAAGTTGTTACTGAGCCTCTTGTGATTGTTCTGTCAATAATACGAATGGCTATTGATGATTTCTATATTGATATTATGGCGGAGATAGAGAAGATTAATTGGAAAAGCCCATGGGCCGGATTGGAGTTTCTTGGAGCTCTAGTAAAAGGTTTCCAGGATGGAGCCGCAGATTTCTTAACAGGTGGCTTAAGAAGGCAGATGGAATCCTATAGAAAGCAGGAACAAAATGACAAAAAGCTCATTCAGGACCTGAAAAACCCAGATAACTATTACAAGATTGTTGGGGAAAAAGAAGGGGGTGGGGATACAATTGATTTCACACAAGGGAAACTTTCCAGTTTTGGCGGCTATATCAACTTCAGGCTTCATGATAATAATCGTGCTACTATAGAAATAGGGGATGTCAGCGGCAGTCATGAAACAATACGCAAGACATTTACAGTTGATCCCAATCTTACAGATATCGTGCTCGGAATAGGGGAGGCCCGGACTTTCGAATACAAGCAAGAAACCGCCAAGCTTTGGTTTGTTATTCCAGTTAAGACATACAATGTCATTTGTGGCGAAAGTCTCCACGGGAAATCCGTTTACGGAACTTACTATGGAAATTCCAAGGACAATACATTTTATGCCGTGCAAAAACCAAAGCCAACAACAAAACCACCTGGGAAAAAGGAAGGAGAAGAGGAATGTAACTTTGGAAGTCTAAATTTGAAGTTTGTTACTGGGAATTACCATTACAATCTGTATGGGCGGGGTGGCAAAGACACCTTTTACCTCGGACCGGAAATGTCCTCTGTCACCGGAGGATCAGGAAGTGACCTGTTCATCATCCAGTCAGATGGCGGAAGAACAGTAATTGATAATTTTGCTGAAGATAACATGCGCGACATCATTGTCATCAACGTCAACTTTGATAATATCCGATGTCATCAGAGTGGGGTTGATCTTGACGTCACTTATTCCAAGAGTCATCACATTCGTATCAAGAACTGGTTTATTCCAGGTGATCCGACGTATTACCGTCACGTCTCATTTCGAAGCCAGGACGGGGTCATTTTCGTCCCCAAACAAACACTAAATAGTGGCCCGATTCACACTGTTCAATGCGTGGCGGTAGCTTTGGATCTAGGCGCAGCAAAAACAGCTCAAACAGTATCACTGCATGATATTAAATACAGTCAAGTGAAACAAGTATCAGGATCAGAATACTCTGATATTATTGTGGGTAATGACGTCAATAATATCCTGGATGGAAGCCTTGGAGCTGACCACTTGTCCGGAGGAAAGGATGAGGATACCTATATCATACGGGCAAATGAAGGCCCCGATGTTATTGACAATAACGCAGATGATTATTTAAACACTACTGACGTTGCAGTATTTGATGTGCCCTTTGAAATGATAGAAGTTAAAACAAAGGGTACCAGCCTCTCTGTATCAGATAGGAACGATGCAGAAACTTCGTGCTTTTCAATAACAAAGTGGACCTTAGGAGAACAGTACAGACATATACTATTTACCTCTAAAGATCATGTTGTCTTCAAAGTGTCTACAAGCGCCGACGGAACTGTATCCAAAGTGCCAATGATGTTGGATTTCAAAACGTCCGAAGTCGGAATTTGTGTTGATTTGTCAGATTCAACGACGAATCCCAAGTGCATCAAACCAACTGGTTACATCAACGTTGCCACAGTATCCGATTCCCCACATAATGACCACATAGTAGGAAATGCACAGACTAATTTTTTAAGCTGCACTGGAGGAGAAGATTATCTTGAGGGTGGTGAAGGTACTGACAATTATGTCGTCAAGAAAACATGCCAAAAAGCAACAATCAACAATTTTGACAGTCGCCACAAAGCAGATTTAGTGTACCTAGAGGAAACGTTCCTGAACTTAGCCGTGCAAAAGGATAGCAAAGATTTGAAGGTTACCTCAAAGCACGTGACACCTACTTTGGTACTTCGCGATTGGTTTAACTCAGCTGACTACCAACATCTTGGAATACGAACTATTGATGGAATAACACTGAGAATAAACGACAGTACAACGGTGAAACTTGAGCCATATGAAGTGTCCAAGGATCCCACTGAATGCCAATGCACGCAGGAAAGCTGTGCGAAGGGGGTGATAACATATAATCTTGACGTTGATCCTTGGAAAAGCATGGTCCGTTTTGAATTAAAATCAAGTCACTGTAGTTACAAAATCTATGGTAACCAACTTAACAATTACATTGATCCCGGTTCAGGCAATGGTTATAATTATCAGCACCTGGAAGGAAGGAATGGATCTGATTCCTACGTATTAAATCACGGATATGGGGAGTTTAATGAAGTCAACAACTATGCAGATGACGACAAAGTAGATACGCTTCAGCTGGGAATGGATTTTGAAGATATCAATGTTTATTTCCATGGCCCTAATGACGCCATTCTTGCATCAAAGTCGCGACCTAGCTCCCTCAGTGTTCGAATTCTGGATTACTTCCGTGGTGTGAAGTATCAGCATCTTCAGATTATATCTGCAGACAAAGTAATCTTTAATATTAGCAAACAATACCCGTACAAAAAGGTCATCGCCGTCGACCGTAGAATCGTCGATTCACCGCAAAACATCGATCCTCAAAGGAATGCTATAATCGCCGAAGCCGAAGATTTGTTGGGATCGCTTACCTCAACCAACAATCTGACAGGTAGTAATACAACAAAGCAAATTGAAGGTGGTGCTCAGGCTGACGTTCTTAGTGGAGGAGAAACAGGAACAATTATTGAAGCAAGACAGGGTAACGACACCATTTATGGTGGGGCTGGTAATGATATCATTTTTGGTGGAGATGGCGATGACGTCATCTATGGTGACACTGGGGATGACTACATTTATGCTGGAGACGGATCAGACATTATTGATGGTGGTAATGGTATTGATACACTTGCGTTTAAAGGGGATGGCTTTCTTCGCAAGGGAGTCACCGTTGATCTCTATATTGGCTTTGGAAAAGGAGTTGATGCCGAAGGAGATATCTATAAGAGCGTCGAAAACGTATATGGAACCATTCACAATGATCTTTTGACTGGATCTGATTTCGATAACAAGCTCTATGGATTAGGAGGAGACGATACACTGACTCCTCATGGCGGGGTTGATGAACTTGTTGGCGGAGAAGGAAAAGATTTGTACTTACTCTATAAGGCTTCTGGGTTAAAAATAATCGATAACTACGCTGATGATGAAGTTGAAGATACGCTTTCCTTGGTTCATTTGAATTCCACAGACGTGTGTATTTTCTTAATTGGAGACGATTTACATCTACAAATTGATAAATCTAACCTGGGATCCGTGATTTTTGACGACGATCCTTTAGCAGTGATTATCAGAAACTGGTATGTGGATGCAAAATACAGACACCTTACAGTGCTATTCAGTAACACTCTGTGGGAAGATTTTGCTCTATCCGCTGTCGCTGAAGAACTGGAGATGCTCGGAAGTGGTACCAGCTTCATCGAAGAAAAAACTGACTTGCAGGTTGTTTCTAGTAACGCCACGGACGTAAGGTTGTCGTGGAAGCCAACAGACAACGTTTTGGTATATTCAGAAACTAAGCTTTTTGTGGTACATTTCAAACAGCTGGCACCAGAAACTTTGAAGGAAACTCAGGTTGATCACCAAACATCATTTAGTGTTTCATCTCTTGACCCAGCCTCCCACTACGTCTTCGCTTTGGCATTAACTAAGTGCGACGCGACAGTTGCAGTTTCTCAGACGCTTTTAACCTACGGACGCGAAAGGTCATGTCCCTCGGTAAAAGTTCCACACTCTGTTGTTAAATACACTCCTTCTACCTCTGCATCAGCCCCTCCTCATGGCACAGTTGCTAGTGTAAAATGTGATGTCGGATATAACATTTATAACACCAACTCTGTAACGAATACAACATGCTTAGATCAAGAATGGATCCCCTCCCTACCGGTTTGTGAGAAAATTAAACAATGCCCTGTCCCTACGAAGCCGACTAATGGATCAGTTTCAACAGATGGACACGAAGAAGGATCAAAAGCTTATTTCGTTTGTCACAAAGGATTCTTGCTGAAGGGAACAAAGGAGCGAACGTGCGTAAATGGTGCTTGGGATGGAGAATTTCCTAATTGTCAACTGCTAAGTTGCCCAAAACCGCCAGCTGTTGAGTATGGATCGTATATTCCCTGTGATTATATCAAGCATTCGAAGACGTATGGAACAATGGATAGTCCCCTTGAAGGCTATTGTGTTAAGCTTGAATGTGCCAACTTATACCTACCAAGTCATGTGTTTCATGGTAAAACGTACCGTCCTCGATGGGAAAGTGACTGGGAGATACCACAAGGCGGACGAGTGTGCAGCGATGGAAAGTGGATTGGTTATGTGGAAGACATCTGCGAACCCACTGCTAGGCTTACCAGTGTGGTGGCTCAGTGGAATAAAAAAAGTGGATTGCTTCAGCTATGGCATAGTGACTATTGGAAAAATGCTTCGTCTACCCCATCACAAGACATTTTACATCTTTCCTGCAAAAGTGCAGGTATAGACAATCCTCAGCAAGTAACGCACAGCTCAACTAGCTCCCAAGTTCGAGTAGACTGCTCCAGGCTACGTTTGACGCAGCCGAAGCCAACCATCTATGAAGGGAAAGTTGAACAATTAACTGACGATGGTACTTGGGAGGGAATATGTGTCACAGAAATTGGAACAACGGCAAGTCAGTTTGCAAGCACGGAGATATGCGAGTCACTTGGATTTAACTACAAGTCTGCCGTTGTTGGCATCAGCACTGGATGGACAGACCACACACTAGTTTGTTCATCGTAAGTAAATAGTAACTGATTAGTAAACTTTTGCAAGTGCAAGACATAGTAAGACTTTCTTTTCTGAAACGAGTAAGGTATTGATAGAAATTTATTGATTCTAGCGGGTAGTAAGTATTTAGCTATTTCGTCTTCGGATAGCCGTGAATGCCATGTTCTTTTACAGTTCACTAAGAAATAAACACCTAGGCTGCTAAGCCTGCCAAGGTTGATCGATCATCATAATTTATACCATCGATTTGATGGAGTTAATTTTGAATTGCTCACATCTTCCCATTATGTTTAGCGCCAGTTGGTTATAAAGAATTAGCTGGGGAATCAGGAACGGTTAAATTTTTTGAATGAATAATAAAATGCATTACTATCCACATGTTGCAGTGAAACGAGCATTTGTGAATTAATAGAAAGCAGACGACAGTGTAACACTATGGTAAGATGCAGGCAGAAGTGTACTAACAGTTTCCCAGTTCCTCATGGTTATACAGAATGTACAGGTAGTTATGAAGATGACACATGCACAGTTCATTGTGACGACGATTACAAACTTCAAGGTGACTCTAAGATTTTTTGCAAAGGAGGTGTGTGGAAAAATCAAGATGCAAAGCCGGCTTCTTCCCAATGTAAAGATATAGGTGTGTGTCAATTAATTTCTCATGAGCATAGTAAATTCATAGATCGGTCTCACATAACGGTGGTTACAATGGTGTACCAAACCAAGGAAACGGCAGCCATGTTGGTGTAACCGAAAAATCAGTCCTGCGGGGGTTGAACCGTTCATATCACGTAGACGTTTTGTTTTGTTGCAAGAAATTTGCATTAACAGCTGGACACGCGTGTGAAAACGAGCTATATCACATTCAGGATATCTTTAAAAAATCCTCTTTTAAGCCTCTACCCTCTCAAATAAGCTCCTTCTCTCTCATAAGCCCCCCTCTGATCTATTCTACACCACCCTCTCCCCTCCTCTCCCCCTTATTTTTCCTTTGCAATCACCAATAACTGATAGACTGTATTAATCAATCAGAGAATCACGACTGTAAAACTTCGTGTGGATTGATCCAGGATGATTTATTCACCAACTGGAAGTTCGAAATTGTGTTATTTTTGGTATCTCGTCTATATGACCTTCAACTTCTTGTAGTTGAGCTTTTCTAGTTTATATTCTAGTTCGTAAGGAAGAACTGATACCATCTTCAAAAGTGTTTGAAATAATGAAGGCCCCGGAGGTCTTAAAAGAGGATTTACGGTGACAATCCGGTTACAAACTTGTTTACAGTCATATGTTACAAACAGAATAGCTTAGGGATACAGATAATATAGTTTTAAAGATGGCGAGTCTAAAAAGGAATTGATGTATCGCCGCATGAATCCTGTTCAAGTGATGGTTCACTTATTAGCAGATTTCATCAGTTTGGTATTGTTGATAGTCGACAGGCCCGGAGATAGTTTAATAAAACCTCATTAACAAATGTCATTTACAAGTGTACATATTTTTAAAGGGTCTGAAAAAATAGGTACACTTGTAAATTACACTTTTAAAAGTTTTATTAAATTGAACCCTGGTGATTAAGTATAACAGAATGGTGTACACCGCCTTTCGCCCGAAACACATTACTTGCGCGTCGTGAACAATGTATTAATCATTTGCATAAAAACAAAAACGCGTGGCCACGAAAGACATAGTTATGTTTGATTTCCCTGGTGGCAGGAAATGCGTACAAGAAATTATAAACGAAATCATCTAATTGAAAATGAGAGACATGAGTAAAAAGCTAAAGCAAGCTTAAGGTAGAGGTACAATTTTTTTATTTATGATGGAAGAAGTTCTATTTTCTATGTTGAAAGCGGAGACCCATAGCCACGAAAATTTGGTTGTCTATCCATCCGAGAAATTTTGGTAGTCGTGTGATAGGACGTCCGTCCGTCGTCCGTACCACAGAGCAGTCAATGTGAAATGTCACACTTTTTAGCCAGTGTGGGAGCCTGCAACCTGATATTGCACTTCCATGTTGTGGGCACTTCACAGGTGTCAAAACGGGTATCACATGACCGTATCGCGGGCTCAAGTGTCAAACCATCGAGGTTGCGTGTTATTTAAGTTCTCCACTGACAAGTTACTAAGATCGCAGGCTCAACTCCAAGTGCATTTCTTTGCAATGGTTACAACATTATTGTTTGAAGTTAATTTTAACTTTATTATTAACGAGAACTTCACCTTTAATCTTAGCTAAATCTATCTTATTGTTTACATAAGTCGTTTTTTTTTTTTCAGAGACTCTCTTCGAAGTTGAACTCGAGCAACTTGTCAAGGATAACAGCAAGAAAAGCCATAAAGAGTTGGCCGTTTTTCTGAGGGATAAAATGGTAGATAGTTATCCCACTCAATATTGGGTGGTTACCGTGTATGACGATATCACGGGTTATGATAAACACGCTTTTGTTGGTTTTCGTATCGGCTATAAGTTTAGATATTATGGGGTTAATTATGTTGTTACACGATATCCTAAAAATCCTGCTCGCACTCTTGGTGTCCCAATATCAGAGGTGGTAGGCTCAATAAGTCAAAACGATGCTAAAGACGTCCGTGATAGTATTGAGAGTAATTTTGATACACGTGGCTTAACTTTCGCCTCAATACACGTCGTTAAAAGAAAAACAGGGACAAAAGGCTGGTGGCTTGGCAAACATTCGGTTGGACCAGAACTTAGTACGGCACATTCTATTCCTGTGAACAACTATTTCTGGAAAGAGTTTCCGGATGTTATTGTCATAGTCGTTGCTCCTCGTTAGGCCAGAAACTTCGCTTACTAGTCCATTGCCATAACCGCAAATTAGCTAGATTCCCGATTCCTGATTCAAAGTGGGTGGAAGCTATCATCATCATCATCATCATCATCATCATCATCATCACTTTTGTTTATACACAGTTAAACATCAAGCTAAGATGCAGATGTAGCTAAATACATATTTACTTTGAAATCCTAAACTTTTACAAGCTATTATTCTTATCGGCTATAAGTTTAGATATTATGGGGTCAATTATGTTGTGACACGATATCCTAAAAATCCTGCTCGTAACTTTGGTGAGCCAATATCAGAGGTGGTAGGCTCAATAAGTGACCTAGAAAAAGATACTAAATTTATCCGTGATAGTACAGCAAAAACCCACGAATAAAAACCTACAATTTAAGAACCTGTTGGGCTATAATTTTCATTTTAATCCCCCTTTTCACAAGATTCTATTTAGCGTAAAACTTTCATATTAAATTCTGCAAGCTGAACACTGCAATGCTAAGTCGCCCACAGGAACAGCTAGAATCCCTATTTTCACAATGGTACTACCTGAAACAGGGTCGCAAATTCATAACTCTTTTGGTCTGGAACAGGTCCAATACAGAGTCTCAAAGACTCACTGGTACGCCCCCATTATAACTTTGAGGGAGTACCCCTCAGGGATTAGTTGTGATTCTATGATGTTACGATGATATGAAGCTTGTTGCACGTGGTACTATTTGTCCATAAGCATAAAAGTGGAATTAAAAATTTTGGCTTAATTTCGTCTTAAATGGAAAGGATAATTAAAGCATTCAGTGAACACAATGAAACACTGATGATAAATAAACGAATAGTTAAATAAATAAATAAATAAATAAATAAATATAATACATAATTAAATACAATTCCTCAACCTCGCTCACGTCTTCTTTCGCATAAAGCCTTCCCCAAGCCCCCCCCCCCCCACGGGTTCCTATTTCCCCCCTCCCCAGCCCCCCCCACCGAAAAAATAAAAAATCACTTTTTCCCCAAACTTATGCACTACAGAAACGAACCGAGAAGGGCGCTGGGGGGGAAAGAGGGCAGAATTCGGGGGTGGCGAGCTCTTTAAAAAAAAAAATACGAAGTACCATAAAATGGAAAGGATAATTAAAGCATTCAGTGAACAAAATGAAAAAACAAAGATAAAAAAACGAATAGTTAAAAAAAAAAAAAAATAAAAAAAAAAATATAATACATAATTAAATACAATTCCTCCACCCCCCCCACGTCTTCTTTCGCATAAAGCCCTCCCCAAGCCCCCCCCCCCCCAAGGGTTACTATTTCTCCTCTCTCCAGTCTCTCTCAGTGATAAAATCAAAGATCAGTTCTTGCCCAAAATTACTGCATACAGAACTCAAACTTTTATTTGTAAACTGCAAATGGAAATTCAATCAGAGAAAAAAAGTGACCTTTTCTGTTCTTGAATCTGCTGCGGAGCAAAGTGAAATGTTTAACAATGCAAAAACGAAGTTTGTGTCGGCGCGTTTTCCGTAAATTTCACAGTGCTTTATTTTATGCGGTTTGTCTTGAATTTCACTTTAACAACCCTGAAACCAAAAGCTCGCGATTTGAATTCAACGGCGATTTCAAAACGGTGAGGCTAAAAGGCGGAATGAGTTTGAGGAATGGCATGTTGCATGGCTTGCGGAATGTCATAATTATGCGGAATTTAATTTATGGAAAATGGCGCAAAGAAAAAACATTCTAAAGGAAAGCATGCGCGCGTCTCTGCCGCCCGTTTTTTGACGCCAATTTGAGCGAGCAATCGATTTGCAGGTCCATTTATTACTGCTGTTAAAGCAAGGCTAAAACACAGCTGATACACATATATATACTTGATAAATCATCCATAACTGGTTTCCAAAATAAACTGAAACGGTTCTTTACTCACGTCTCTTTTCCAGTGAAGGGCAGTAAAAGTATGAAAACGTGTCAAGTTTAAACAGTCTTCTATTGAGTTTTTACTCTCCTCATTTCATAGAGAAACGTCGTAACGGCGGACTAGGTAAAATAGAAAGGAAGAGAGAGGACCCTGGGATCGAGGAATAAAGAAATAAGCCTCCTAAATACGTGCAGACGTACTGTGTTGCAAATCTGTATGGGTTTTTAGGCGTATATAACCTGCACTACTTGGCTAAACTTAAATCAAGGGTCACTCTTTATGGTAACGTTAGAGGGTAAAAAGCGTTCGCTGAACGTGAAGTCGGGCTAGCAACAATTCTCGGGATTTTTAATACGGTGAAGGAATCAGATCATATTCGAGACTAAATGAACGCCTCGAGTCAAACGTTAATCCGTAATCCACAAATCGAGTGAAGCGGCGAACTGCTCTCTGCCTCCTTTCTGCGTCTCTTCGCACCTCCCTTGTTTGTTTGAACTACCCAAGTCATTAATATGTATTTTTTTTTAATAGTTACTGTGATCCCGAACCGGCTTTACTAACTTAATATAGGTAAAGGCAAAGGAGAAAAAATGCTAAAAGTGGAAGGAAAAGAAAAAGAAAAAAGCACACAAACTCGATTGCCAGGATTTGGGCTCGCGCCTCTCGGCCAGCTGTTGGCTTCGCGTGCCTGAAACTTCACCACGCAGCCAAGAAAACAAGATACAAGATACCTACGATCTCTGAATATTACGTTACGAACAACCGTCTGAAAAAGAAACACTTCTCACACGGTTTCAAATGCAAATAAAGGTAAAAAAAAGTGACGTTAATCGTGCAAATATCTTTTGTAGAAAAAAATTAAAGCAGAAGACAGTGCGACCTTCCAAAACAGCTTTTCTTCAATGGCCGACTTTCGTGATGTTTTCGTGATCTTTAACACATCGCTTTCTACCGGTGAAGTCTCCATTCTGTGGAAATGTTCTAACATCATAGCCATTGCGAAGGTAAAACAACCTCTATGTGAGAGCGAAACCCGACCTATCTCTTTAACCCCTATTTTGTCTAAGGTCTTGGAAGATTTTATGGTCTCTTGGATGATCGAGGATGTTGGCGAGCATATTGATAGTCGCCAATTTGGTAGTCTTACAGGATCCTCCACCACTTACTGCCTACTCGATCTCATCCACAACTGGCTCTCTGAGCTTGATAATCCTGGTTGTTATTTGAGAGCCTGCTTCCTTGACTTTAGCAAGGCGTTTGACAGGATCGACCATAACATCGTTATTAGGAAGCTAATTGACTTGGGGGGCGTCGCTCTATCAAACCATGGATCTGCAGTTTCCTAACAGATCGGTGGCAATGTGTTAAACTAGGGCAGACCGTCTCCAATTGGCTCCCAGTACGTGCCGGTGTCCCTCAAGGGACCAAACTAGGTCCTATACTCTTTGTAATAATGATTAACGATTTGAAATTGGCCTCCCGGCGTTGCTCATACTGGAAGTATGTAGATGACATCACTATATCAAAATTTGCAGCGGCACGCAGGGTGTCAATTTTTTAATCTGAACTTGACAACATCAGCACTTGGGCTGCTACAAACAATACGGTTCTTAACCCCAAAAAGTGCAAGGAGGTGACTTTGCGTTTTCGTAGAGTCGTGGACCATCTCCCATCAGCCTTGGCAATAGACACTAAGGCCCTTGAGTTAGTCGATGCTCATAAAGTATTGGGCGTTACAATCCGAAGTAATCTCAAATGGGATTTGCACATTAATGAAGTTGTGGCTAAGGCGTCAAAGAGGCTGCATATTCTACGTGTCCTCAAATGCGGCGGAGTACCACCTGCCGACCTACTTAAGGTTCATTTTTTGCGCTCATTAGGTCTGTCCTTGAATACTGTTGTCCTGTGTGGCATAATGCCCTTCCCGTCATACTATCAGATAGCATCGAGGGAGTGCAGAAACGGGCGCTGCGCATCATCTTTCCTGCGCTGCACTACCAAGAGTCCTTAGCTACTACCGGGTGTGTACCACTTCACACAAGAAGAATGGAGTTGTGTAGCAAGTTATTCACAAAGATAAAAGAGCCCGAGTCCCGTCTTCACCTTCTTGTTCCACCGACTCGGTTACAGGCGCACAGCCGCTCCCTTCGCAACAAAGACAGGCCATCCGGCGATGTGCCTTTATGCTCATGGCATGTAATTGAGGAACTTATGGCAATTTAATGTATAACTTGATATATATTTCTAGCTTCTAGGTTTTTATCGAATTTATTGTATTATATCTTCTCATAATTGTAAGGCCCAGTCCATTTTGAACACGATGTAATTAGTTTAAATTAATTTTTTTTTATTATAATTGATATCTATATTTTTGTAAAATAATTTCGCAATTCGCTTATTTCTAAGCGCGACGATTTTATTAATAAACCAGAATTATTATGTAGAATCGGTGCTTCCAGCATCCTGACTGATAAAGGCAAGTACAATTTTTGTGGCTGTGCAAAAAGCTAATAGACCGTGAGAAACCAAGGAGTCTTTCCTGACTTTTTGATTGCCATCGTAGTCGAGCCCGCAACATTAACGTAGCGGCTGCTTGTGAATTGATTGGTGCCAAAAAAGGGAGCAATTTTCAGTTTAATTTATTTCTTTAAGTCATTCTGCATATTACATTCCGCATAATTATGTCATTCCGCAAACCATGCCACATGCCCTTCCGCAAACTCATTCCGCCTTTTACCCGCACCGAAGAAGTTGGTGGGGAACATGCAATGCGCAACAGCTGAAGTAAAGAAAACACTCAGACGGTGGAAGAAACAACTTCCCCATCTAAAGATTCGGTTTTCGCGAGACACTTTGCTTTCACTAGAATCAGGAAGAGTTTTAACAAACTGGTGCAAAGTTATTATTATTTTTTTTTTGTATTCCGTGGCACACTAGAGACCTTCAGATTGGAGGACGAGAACGACCCCGAGTACGTGATTCGACTTCGAGTTTTTTCAGCGTATTCTCAAAAAGCAGACACCCCGGAAATCTTTATTGTACTGTTTTTAAATCGAAAAATTAATTATCATTATTGGCCAAGCCTGTAGTACCGTTATGATTCCATTTCATTTTTAGTATAAATGATAAGTGAAGGAAGGTGCGCTGTAATGTTATGTAAATTCTAAAACATTCAGAATTTACATAACATTACGAAATCCCGGATGACATGGACGCCTCGTCAATGGATATACCTACATTAATGCCAAGTCAGCCAGTCACATTCAGCATCAAATTCTTTATTCATTTCAGAAATAGCTTTCATATGCTCCTTAATTTATCTTAATTATATATCTGCTGTTAGAGGAAAACGGTGCTTTAGCTGAAATCTCTTTCCCTGGGAGGGGGGGGGGAGGGGGGGAGGAGTACTCCTAAGAATTCTTCTGGGTGGGGGGGGGCCGCCCGGTTCTCCAAATCCCTACCCTATTTCAAGACCCAGAAATGTACTTTTTCCAAGCCGGTTTCAGACCTGCCCTCTAAAAACTTAGTGGGGGGGGGGGGGGGGGGGGGGGGGGGGGGAGGAGTACTCCTAAGAATTCTTCTTGGTGGGGGTGTGCCGCCCGGTTCTCCAAATCCTGACCCGATTTCAAGACCAAGAAATGTCATTTTTCCAAGCCGTTTTCAGACCTGGCCTCTAAAAAATTGCTTAGATAAGAACAGCAACAAAAAGATTTCTTAACTCTTTGTTCCGGCCTTACTCATTTGGCATTGAAATGATAAATACGTTCCTACAGGCCTGAAGTCTCTTCGAAACCATACCCAAATCCAAACCAAAATGAGCAAAGTGTATAGCCGTTTTCAGACTAAAACGGCGCAAAAACCTTGCCTTTGGTGCGGCAAATACCTATATGGCTTATATAAATGAGTACCCACCCACCCCCCCCTTCCCCGACATATTTTAATAAGGAGCGACCACGATAACGTAAACATCAGAAAACTCCTTCCACAAATAGTTTTCAGTAGGTATATCTCCTCGAGTGGAAACCCAAATACCAATTTTACGTTTATCCAGCCACCAACCTACCGACCTCCTCTTTCTAATAACATGTATCGAGGAATAACTCATGCCACGGGCGCGAAACTTACCCAAAATATTATTAAGAACGTTTAGGGCGATGTCTTTGCCACCAATTCCATTTACCGACCCCACCACATCCGAGATTTTTACTCTCGGAGTTCTAGCATAATATTTAGGATATCGTGTAACAACATAGTTAACCCCAGCATATCTAAACTTAAAGGCGCGACGAGAGTCAGAACCAATAACAGCGTGGTTTTCATAGGTCCCAACAGGGTCATATACAGTAACCACCCAATATTGATTGGGATAATTTCTCTTTAAATGGTTTAGTAACAGCGTAGCCAACGAGGAAAGGCTTAACCTTCTGTTCGCGCTTACAAGGTTCAAAACTTCATCCTTGTATAGAGAGTCTGAAAAAGAGATGGAATAGATTCGTGTAAGTATCGTTTGGAGTAAAAGAAACATCTTCATGAGACAAGGGAAGCAACTTACATTATCATATTTTAAGAAAAAAAAATTATATGAACTTCTTATTAATTGGAACCTCGGAATGAAGTAATAAAGTGAAATGCAAAGGATCATGGCAGTTAAAGACGAGAAAAAATTAAGGCTTGCCTTTTTTATTCATACCCTTCACTTTCTTTTTCTTTATACTTCTTTCTTTCTGCGCTATTTTCCTGCTTACTTCTCGATTCTTGAGCATTACCATTACACTCAAAACAACGCCGCAAAAAGGTGAACAACCTTAGCTTAGCCGTATGCCTGTAAAGTGCGTTAATTATGTGTAGGTTCTATCAAGGCCTCCAACCCCACTCCTGGAGAATTCGCACTTGTGATGCATTGCAAACGAACGGTATGGATACTTAGTCTTCATATTTTGCAGGAATTTTTTTAATGCGTCGCCTTTGGGAGAGCTTTGTGGCGCTATTGTATTTGTGGAAAAGTGACCGAGTACGTCATCATGTTTTTCTGAAAGTAACACGAAACCAAACACTTCCACCTTTTTCCACGTTAAAACAAAAAGCACCTGATTCAAGTTAAATAACATGCCATATGAGCTCATAATTTTGCTACGCTGAAATGCAAATGAAGTCGCATGTGAATAAGTTTCATTTAACATCAGATTTACTGATCTACCACTATTCAAAATCACGATACTTACCTATACTTTTACAATTTGATGAAGCGGGTTGCCCGTTTTGCCTCGTCCAGACTCCTCCTTTACAATAAACTTTAGAGTCTCCAGAGAGTTTGTATTCATTGTAACAATGAACTGTGCATGTGTCGTCTTCATAACTACCACTACATCTGACGTATCCATGAGCTACTGGGAAACTGTTAGTGCACCTCTGTCTGCATCTCACCATGGTACCACATTGTTGTCTTCTCGCCACCAAATTGCATCTGTTTAAGTTTTAGTGCAGTAAACCGTTAGCTATGTTTCTCTGATTTCTATATTGTACTATGAATTCAGAATTAACTTTGTTTATCATATTGTACATTTTAATGCCAAGGAAGGGAATCAAGTATGTATTTGAAGTTTTTCAGTTGCGCACTATAGCTTCTATCCAGGGCCGGACCAAGAATGATATCAGAATTCGTCTTCGTGGTTTCATAAAAATGTTATATCTATTTATACATTTTAATTTCGAGAAAGCGAATGAACGCATAATTTCAAACGAAATGCAAAGGTAAGAAAAAGAAGCCATAGACGTTTCGCACAAACGACGCTTGTAACGACTTCTCCCAGAAACTGCTTTAAATTGCAGTTTTTATCCGTTTAATTTTATTTATAACATTTTCACACCCGCTTCTATCTCATTACGCTCTTCCAAACTACTTATTTGTTATAGTATTAAATGACGTCATTTAATACCATATTGGAATACAAAGATTATTGATTCAGCAAATTTCGAGCTCAAGCGCATTACAACTGCAAAAGTGTTCTTTTGGAGAGCAGTTAGTTCAGGCGTCATTTGTGCCCATCGTGGTAAATCGAATTTATTTTTATTTTATTTTATTAGTTTTATTTAGTTTCATTCTAACTCTAAATAAGACTCCAACCAATTTTAAAGGTAAAGAAAAGCATTGAAACCCGCCCAAGTATGTCTTAGCAAACCTGGGTCCAAGAATAATGTCAAAATTCATCTTTAGGTAGTGGTTTATAGAAAGATTAAATATTCCACGAGTAAATTTCCCCCATCATTACTTTCTGATTTACGAAGGGAATTAATGACATCTCACTCTCATTTTCTGTTATATCAGCACAAGTCTACCATTAACTTACGGTGAACAAACAAGCTTGTGGTCTGTCCAGCCAGTACTGATGCTCACTATAGCAGATCTATAGTTAAAGCCAAGTGCCTCACAAATCTCATTGCTTGCTGTCTGACTTGCAGCAGTCCTCGTCTCCGTGACGCATACACCTTCCCAGTTTCCGTTATTTAATACCTCTAGTCTTCCCTCATATATAGCTGGCTTCGGCCGTGTCAGTCGTAACTTAGAGCATGTCACCTGTATCGTGGAGCTTCTCGAAGTGTGCGTTACATACTGAGGATCATCTATAGCCACACTTCTACAGGAAAGATTGATAATGTTTGGTGCTGGAGCAGACCGGGCATCCACCCATGCTTTATTCTGCCAAAGTTGTAGTTTACCACTTTTTTTATTCCACCGATCTTCCACGCTGACAAGTCTAGCGGTAGCTTCGCAGATGTCGTCAACATAACCAATCCACTTTCCATCGCTACAAACCCGACCGCCCTGAGGTATCTTCCAGTCGCTTTCCCATCGAGGGCGATGCGTCTTTCCATGAAATACGTGGCTTGGTCGATACAAGTTCGTACATCGAAGCTTAACACAGTAGCCTTCAAGGGGATTACTCATTGTGCCATAAGTCTTTGCATGCTTTATATAATCACAGGGACGATACGATCCATGATCAATTGGTGGTGGACTTGGGCAACTTAGTGGCTGGCAATTAGGAACCATCCCATCCCAGGCTTCATCGACACAGGTTCGTTCCTTTGGTCCATTGAGCAAGAATCCTTTGTGACAAACATAATAAGCTTTCGATCCTTCGCCGAGCCCACTGATTGAAACTTCTCCATTGGTCGGCTTTGTTAGAACAGGACATTGCTTTATCTTCTTGCAAACTGGAAGGGAAGGGATCCATTTTTGATCTAAGCATGTGGCATTTTGTTCCGTGTGGTGATTGCGAATGTTATAACCCGCATTACATTTCACATTGACAATTGCACCATGAGCTGTAGTTGACGCAGTAGAAGTTGGAGTATACTGAACAGCAGAGTGAGGAACCTGTACTGTTGGACATGATCTTTCGCGTCCATAGGTTATGAGTGTATGGGATACGGCAAGTGTTGCGTTGCATTTTGTTAATGCCAAAGCGAAAACGTAGTGGGCGTTTGGATCAATAGGCGAGACAGTTAGTGCTGTTTTACCAAGCACTTGTTGTTTTTTAAGGCTATTGGGTTCTATTTGTTTAAAATGTACCAGATACAACTCAGTTTGTGGATGTGTCAAAGGACTGCTTGCTTGCTCCCAAGATAAACTCGCACTCGTTCCGCTTGTAGACACAACCTTCAATTTGGTGTTGTTTTCAACGTAGTTAACACTCGTTCCTAACTTGTCCAATATTGAAACGATACCAGATAAAGCAAAAGCTTCCCACAAAGTGTCATTAAATAAAACCGTAAGGTGTCTGTACTTAGCATTCACGTTCCAGTTTGTAATTATGACTGTCAACAATTCACCGTGAAAAAGAACAGACGCCAGGTTAGATCGGTCAGCTTGTAGGTGTAGGTCGTTGCCGACTAAAAAGATGCACACATCAGTAGAGTTCAGGTGAGCCAAAGAAAGGGTGTCTTCAATCGAATCATTCGCGAAGTTGTCGATGATTTTTAACCCTGAAGCTTTATAGAGTAAATACAAATCTTTTCCTTCACCGCCAACAAGTTTGTCATCGCCACCGAGAGGAGCCAGTGTATCACTTCCTTCAAGGCCATACAGTTTGTTATTGGAATCGGATCCAATTAAGGAATCGTTGTGAATCGTTCCGTATACATTTTCAATGCTCTGGTAGACATCGCCTTCAGCATCCGCTCCCTTACCAAATCCAATATTGAGATCAACAGTGACTCCTTTGCTCAAAACTCCATCACCTTTGAAAGCCAAAGTATCACTGCCGTTACCGCCATGGACGATGTCTGGACCGTTCCCAGCATAAACATAGTCATCTCCTGCCTCGGCATAAATGACGTCCTTTCCATCCCCACCAAAAATAACGTCATTACCAGCACCACCATAAATGGAATCGTTACCCTGTTTGCCCTCAAATATTGACCCCGTTTCTCCTCCACGTAAAATGTCGGCCTGAGCACCACCTTCTATTTCTCTTGTTGTATTACTCCCCGTCAGGTTATTGGCCGAAGTAAGTGATCCCTTAAGATCTTCAGCTGTAGCAATTATACTGTTTCTTCGAGGATCAATTATTTGTGGAGAATCGATGATTCTACGGTCGACCACGATGACCCTTGTAAAGGGATATTGCTTGGAAATATTAAAAACAACTTTATCTGCTGATGTAATCTGGAGATGCTGATACTTCATACCGCGAAAGTAATCCAAAATTCGAACACTAAGTGAGCTGGGTCTTGTTTTGGATTCAAGAATGACATCATATTGACCGTGAAAATACACCTGAATGTCGTCAAATTCTATTCCAAGCTCGAGGGTATCTGTCTTGTTATCATCCGCAAAGTTATTGATTTCATTGAACTCGCCATATCCGTGGTTAAACACGTATGTATCCGATCCGTTCTTTCCCTCTAAATGCTGATAGTTATAACCATTTCCTGCTCCTGGGTCAAGATAATTGTTTAGACCATTCCCGTATATTTTGTAACTACAGTGACTTGACTTTAACTGAAAACGGACAACATTTTTCCAAGGATCACTGCTAAGATTGTATGTTACCAGCCCTCTATCACAGCCTGAGTGTGTGCATTGACATTCTGTGGGATCTTTAGACACTTCGTATGGCTCGAATTTTACTGCCGTGCTGTTTATTCTTAAGGTAATACCGTCGATGGTTCTTATCCCAAGGTGTTGGTTAACAGATGACCTAAACCAGTTTCGAAGTACCACAGTAGGTGTTCCATGCCTTGATTTAATTCTTAAATTATCGTCCTTCTTTAACAGTTCTAAGTTGTCAAACGTCTCCACTATATGCAGCAAATCAACTTTTTTGCGATTGTCAAAATTGTTGATGATTGCCTTTCGGCATGTCTTCTTCACAACATAGTTATCTGTGCCTTCACCACCCTCAAGGTAATCTTCTCCTCCGCTACAACTCAAAAAGTTGGTCTGCGCATTTCCAACTATATGGTCGTTGTGCGCCGAATCGGAAACGGTGGCGACTTTATCGTAACCAGTTGGCTTGATGCAGTTTGGACTGGGTGAATCCGATAAGTCAACGCAGATTCCAACTAGGGATGCCTTGTAGTCCAGCATGATAGGTACTTTGGATACGCCTCCGCTTTGGCTGGTAGAGACGTTGAAGACGACATGGTCCCCAGACGTAAATAGTATATGTCTGTGCCGGTATCCTAGTCGCCAGTCTTTTATTGTAAAGCATGAGCTTTGTGCATTGTTGCGGTCAGTAACAGACAAATCATTTCCTTTCATTTGAACATCTATCATATTAAAGAGCACATCGAACACGACAATATCAGTGGTATTTAAGAAATCATCGGCATTATTGTCAATAACATCACAGCCTTCGTTTGCTCTGATGATGTAAGTATCTTCATCTTTTCCCCCAGTCAACTGATCGGCTCCACGGCCTCCTTCCAGGATGTTGTTTAAATAATTACCGATAATGGTATCAGAGTTATTGGATCCAGACACTTGTCTCACTTGACTGTATTTCGCATTCTTGAGAGAAACAGTTTGAGCTGTCTTTGCTGCACCTAGATCAAGAGCGACTGCTACACACTGAACGACATGAATGTCATCGCTATTTAAGGTCTGTTTTGGAACGAATATTACTCCATCTTGACTTCGAAATGAGATGTGGCGGTAGTAGGTTGGATCTCCAGCAGAGAACCAGTTCTTGATGCGAATGTGATGACTCTGAGCATACGTTACGTCAAGATCATTGCTACTCTGATGACATTGTATATTATCAAAAGCAACGTTTATTACAACGATGTCGCGCTTGTTATCTTCAGCAAAATTGTCAATGATTGTTTTTCCACCATCTGATTGGATAATGTATAGGTCACTTCCAGATCCTCCTGTGACAGTGGACATTTCTGGTCCGAGATAAAAAGTGTCGCTACCACCCCTCCCATACAGATTGTAGTGATAATTTCCGGTAACAAATTTAAGATTTAACTTTCCAAAATTACATTCTGCATCCTTTTTTCCTGGGGGTTTTGTTGTTGGCTTCTGATGCTGTACCGCGTAAAACTTGTTATCCTTAGAGTTTCCATAATAAGTGCCATAAATAGACTTTTCATGAATATTAGCTCCACAAATTACATTATAAGACTTGATTGGAATTACGAACCACAACTTGGCAGTCTCGTGTTTGTAGTTGAAACTTCTAGACTCGCCTATACCGAGAACAATATCCTTTAGATTGGGGCCAACTGTAAACGTTTTGCGTATTGTATTATGGCTGCCAGAGACATCTCCGATTTCTAATGTAGCCTGGTTGTTATCGTGTAGTCTAAAGTTGATATAGCCACCCATACTTGATAGCATACCTTGGGTGAAGTCGATCGTTTCCCCTCCTCCATTTTTTTCTCCAACAATCTTATAATAGCTATCTGGGTTTGTCAGATTCCTGATGAGTTCCTTGTCATATTTTTCTTGCTTGCTAAAAGACTCCATCTGTCTTCGTAGACCACCCGTTAAGAAATCTGCCGCTCCGTCTAAGAAACCTTTGACCAAAGCTGCAAGGAACTCTAAACCAGCCCATGGACTTTTCCAATTAACCTTTTCCATCTCCGCCATAATATCGATGTAGAAGTCGTCAATGGCCATTCGTATTATTGAGAGGACTATCACCAGAGGCTCAGTAATGACTTCTGCTTCCGGGCAAAATGTTCCTATTAGGTTAAGCACCGTCGTGCTAACATCAAGTGCTAAATCGATCACCCTCAGTGGTAAAATTTTAAGGTCTTCGGGGTCGTTGAGATTTAAATTGGCCAATTGTTCTATGTCTTGTTCAATAAAGTAGATATCGAATGCAATTCCCACAACAGGCACGGCACCAAGCATCTCTCCAATTCCTCTCTCTGCGAACCTTTCCACTTTCGTAGAAAACCTTTCCAAGCCTTTTTCTAGATTTAACCCTTTTGCCAACCCTTTAGCCGCCCTACTTATGACTCTTTTTCCAACCTTTGAAACTATCTCGTTGAGACCCGTTAATCCTGCTAGTGTGTGGGCAGACTGGGCCACGGAAATGGCGCCTCGTAGATCATCACCTTCCTGGAAATAATTAACAGCGCCGAGAACGGAAAATATCAGGCCATGAACAGCAAGCCCTTTATTTACCTTAGCGTACTCCTTACCAGCTCCCGTTATTTTAGATTTTGATAGGTGGTCCTTAATCAGCTTAGGTGTTGCCAGCTCTTCGGGGCTTATTTGTAACTGAACGTGCTCTCTTTCTTTGGCATTACGCCGATCCACAACGTCAAATTCAACTTTTTCCTCAACAACTTTAATAGAATCCTCGTCAACAGAAACGGAGTCTTTATCATTAAGCGAACAGGCAAAGCGCTTTCTTCGGCGTTTTGTTCCTGTGCAGTATTTGGCGACCTTTGCAGCAACAACCTCTCCATCATGATCTCCAGCAGCACGTTTACGTATGAGGTACGAAGGGACTGTTCCACTTCCTTCTGCATGTATTAACACGCGCCCTTTTTCAGTCCCGCCTGGCCTTAATCTAACTTTAAAGTTAGTTTTGCTGAAGACTTCGTCTATACGCTCTCTTATTCCCGTAGAACCGACGTTTTTAAGCATGTCCCTGATCAATTCGTCCATTGCTGGACTTCTTCCTGTTTTGTCTTTTAACTTTGCCAAGTTGGGAATATCTTTACTTTCTGGGAACTTCTTTTGATTTCTTATCTTCTGAGCGAGTTCTTTCAAAAAACTGGCTTTAAACTCATCTGTTGGCTGAGCCGCTTCTGCAACCATTGTAGTAACCAGAAATTCTACGGTAGCGCGTGTGGCGTCCGCAGTTTCTTTTACCTTTCCTGTAATTTCTAGATCTTTGGAGAAATCAGGTTGGCTCTTAAGTTTCTCGTCAACAGCTTCCAGCATAGCTTTTCCTAGTTTATCTTGATCTGGAAACTTACCAAGAACTTTATCTACCATTGTATCGTAATCAGTTAGCCAAAGACCACCTTTGCCTTTTCTGCCTCGTTTGGTGGTACCAGGCCAATCAGTATCAAACGTTCGAACAACTATTTGATGTTCACCTCCTCGTCTTGGACTGCTCGTACTTAAACGAAACTTCCTATTTGCTCCACCAATGGGAACTTCGAACGTTGTTTGTTTTAATCCTTGACTTTGGTATATGTCAGGGTAAAACTGCATTAGTTTAAAAATATCTTTTACGGAAACCTTATCAGTTTCGTGGATTGTCACTTTTAATGATTTTCGTTTTCCTTTCGTAATTATCTCCTCTTCAACGATTTTTTTACCCGAGCCTACTGCCGTGTCGGTTTTCTTCAATTCGTCCCACTCGTCAATCGCTTGCTGACTTGTTTTAAGCATACTCTGAGTGAATTCCAACGTTAGTTGAGTTTCACCTTCGGTCGCTATTTCCTTGCTAAGGTCATCCCGTACTTCTTCCATTTTTGTTCCAATATCCCTGTTTGTTGTCTGTAACCATCCTGATGGATTAAGGCCTGTCAATTTGTTCTTTTGTATGGACGTACCAGCCAAAACATCTATCGATGCGCTAAACGCGTCGTCCCTTTCCTGCGTTGTAACCGTTTTTGCAGTGTCCTTCTGTGTTAATGTGCTTTCAAAATCGGGTTGGTTGTTTAATTTCGCATCTAATGCCTGTAAAGAGACTTCTTTTACCGTTTCCCTTAAAGGGGCCTTCAGGTTACTGTCAGACAATACATTAACTGCAGTCTGTAGATTTGAGAGATCCACTTCCGTACCATCTGTTCGTATAGCTTTCAACGAAAAAGTGCCGTCGGTTTTGCTGGAGAGCTTAAACTTGTGAATTTTCTTTCCGATTGGAACGTGGAATTCTGTCGGGTGCGTTTCTTCTCCATAAAGAATTGGGTAGAACTGCATAAACTGGAAAGCTTCTTTTAGGGAAATACCCCCAGTTTTTTCGAATTTTACCAGCTTTCCTGCTCCAGGAACAGCCGTTTCTGTCACTGCCTTGGGTGAAACTGTCTTTAGTTGATCCCAACTTGTTCTTACTTTCTTTCCAACCACTTCTTTGTCAAGAGCCTCTTGGACCGTCTTTCTGTCTCTGTTCGCAACTACTGTTCGTTGGACCAACTCATGCGAGACATGCTTAAACTCAGTGGCTAGACCATCTTCTTGCGGTGTAGCTCGAGCTCGAAATCCCCAAGTATAAATAAGAGGATTCAAAAACAAGAAAGCGGCTGTACTAAACAATGCCACAGCAATATTTACAGGCCCCATGCTTGAGTGCCCTTACTGTTAAAAACCTGAGAAAAAATTTAAGTGGAAATTGGCGTAATTAGAGTAATTGGAACACAGGTAAGCTTAAAATTGGGGTAAATTTTCTTATATGAAATTTGTCGCTAACTTTCAGTTATTGTGGCTGATTACGTACAGGTATCCCCACACTCCACTCTTAGTGGAGGTGTGTGTGGCCGAACCGTTAACACCTCGAACTCTGGATCTAGGAGGTCCGGGGTTCAAGCCTCGCCCGTCGCGTCGATTCCTTAGACAAGGAATTTATCCCACTTTGTCTCTCTTCTCCCAGGTGTGTAATTGAGTACCGGCGACATAATGCTGGGGGGTAACCCTGCAATGGATTTGCATCAGTCCAGGGGGGAGTAGTGAAACTCTTAGGCATGCTTCATGCTACGGAAACTGGTCCTTTCCGTAAACCCTTCACATTAAATTATGTAGTGCAGAAATCTGTATCCCTTTTTACAGCAAAAAAGACAAAGCACTAAAAAATCACCAAAACTAAGAATTAAATGTTTTCGACTTTCCACAGCCATAAAATCTTTCTGTAGCCCCGGTTCATTTTACAGACCGAAATGACAAACTTTCCTACCCTTTAATATACCTCAACTAGGGAAATCCCTACCCTTTCATATACCGAAGGTGTGAAAAAGGTACCCCTTTCGCGCGGAGCATCCCCATATGGACTATAATTATAGGGGGTATTCCTCCGGGCCATTTTTCTTAACCAGATCAAACTCACCACGATTTAATCGCAATGGCTAAGTCTTTATCAGGGCACTTACAATAAATTGCTGTTTTACTGCTCCAATTTATTCTTTCTTGTGGTACAATAAGACAAACTGAAAACGACAACAACGTAATTCATCAATTAGATACCGTCAGCGTATTGCAGCTACATTGGATATCACAAAGAATGTGCTTGTTGTGTTAAGTTCTTTTCTCATTCTACGTTCACTCTTTTTTATTATTAACTGGCTGGGGTAATTAATTAATTTCCTGTTATATTGAGAAACAATTGCTATTATATCAACAAAAAACCATCATATGCCCTCACCCAAAGCAAGACTTAACCGGGCGCCTATTTCCTTTTCGACTCGTAAGCTTTCGTTGCCACCATTTATAACCAAGAAGCCTTTAGTCGTAATAAACGTCATATATTTCCTGGATTAATTTGCGATAAGGCAAATAATACAATTTTGAATAGTCTTAGAAAGAAGGAAGAAAGACGTTGAAAAACAGGTTGAATTTACGTTAAAAGTTTATGGTTAGCGTAGGGTTAGGGTTTAGAATTTTGGCGGGACGGTAAGGTCGTTCAGTGGTATATTTAAGGGAGAGAGTTTGGGATACAAAAGGTCCGGGATCGACGCTGTGTTGTGATCTTCTTTCTTTTTAACATAGAAACACTTTCAATTTGCCTCGGCGGCCATTTTCGAAATATAAAGTTACACGGACCATAAAGTTCTTATTGACTCCATAACCTTTGCAGGTGCTGTAATGTACATGGCACTCTTGGTCGTGAGCAAATAAGGAACATTATTCACTTTTATTTATGGTCATACTGATAACAAAATTTCTCCCAAAAGTACAGCTTAGAATTGTTCGTTTTTAGAAACATTAAATAACTAAAGAAATATCAGTGTGTGATGGGCTGAAAGCTCATATCGGGTCTGTTTGATAACTGAGCGGCGAAGCCGGTAAATTATAGTGTCTATTGTAATAATAATAATAATTATTATTATTATTATCATTATTAATCGTTTCGAACGTATTTCCATCATCACCTTTTGCACATGTTTACATAAATTGTCGATTAACAGAATACTTAAAACTGAAGACAAGGCTGATCGGACAGCTAAGGGTTACAAATTTATTTGCCCAATATTTCGACTAGACAAAGCTAGACTTCATCAGGGGCTAGAAAAGCTAAGCGAGAATAGAATAACCGCGGTACAGTATTTAAAATCAGATAATAGGAATATAAAAATAATATGTGATCGGTGGAGAAATTACAACAGACGAAAACTTGTATAAAGAAGTCATATTAAAAAATGTATTTAGTCAATAGATTAAATTTGATCTCGTCTGTTCATCCCATAGGGTTCAAGTGTTTTTTTTTGCAAATTTAGAAATTAAAAATACTTCACGGGCCTTACGGATACTGTCCCTGTCTGAATTAATTAGTTCTAACGGAATGAGTTCTTTGTCTTTGATGGAATGGTCTGGAAGGGAGAAGTGGTCTGAAAAAAATTTGTCTACTGGTGTCGCTTGGCGCGCTAAACTCTAAAATGGCCGCTTATAGAGTTTTCGAGGGCCTTTCTACGGTATTTTGAAGGATATAATTTTAGTCAAATTATGAAGACAATTACGGTAGCTAAACAAAGCGGCCCCCTCTATTAATTTTACCACTCATAAAATTATTGATTTCATTTTTTCCTCATTCACACCGTGAATTTGACCTCCATTAAGCGGTTACCTCGGATAATTCTATTGTATTTTACCTCCATTTAACGGTCAACAAGTATATGACAACCGTAAATCAGTTTAAATAAACATTAAACCTCAAATAAACTCGTTTTCGCCTTGTAGAGGTTATTTGGTTTAAAACCTGGTTGGACTGAACGCTTCATAAAGGATTGATCTCGACTGAGTTGCCTTTACCGCTATTCATGATTTTCAGCGCCACTTAGATAGATGTTTAAATAACCCACGTTTAAACAGGTGTTTGAAATTTTTCGAGGGTTGTCGCCGTCACGCCAGGCTAGATATGAAGATTGTGATTTGCAAATAAACTGATACCACGAATCTGTGGGATACAAAAGGTTTATATGTTAAAAGTAAAAGTAAAAGGCGAAAGGAAAAGGTCCTTATACGACGTCGGTGACTGGTCCACATTAAACTAACAAACCTGGGCCCCAGGCCGCGTTCATTTTACACCTTTTCTTCTCTCCACTTGGGGCTCTCTTTTACGGGTATTTAAAGCTATTCAGAAAGGTAAGAAGTAGAAGGAAGGATTTGAGGTTATGTTTAAAGGAATCTAATTCGAAACCCCACCTAAAAAACGCCGCGCACTAACCGACTGTGTTCATCATTACAGATCACGAAGCGGTGTTGGATAGCTTCGAATGTTAACATCTGATATTGAAACTTAATACTTTTTGACGGGTTTGTGCAATTAGGCCGGTAACATCATTTAGGAGGATATATCGTCATAAACTAAGATCCTGTTTTTTGATCAAGTACGCCATGTGCATGTTTACACTAGGTAGGACGGATCATTTTCAGTTAAAAATGTATATTTGTGTCTGTCTGAAATGGAATTATGTTTACTAACTATAAAGGCTAATGCCAATTTTTTGCTAGACAAGTTAATTTTGTTAAAAGTTGTATAGATTAATGATATTTAGCGTTTTTTCTATAGCTTTTGTTTAGCAATGCACAGGGATCAAACTTACCTTGAACTGAAGGAAAGCTCTTCTCCTACCTTCTGGCTTAGAGAGATAAACTAAGAAAACATATATATTACATCAAAGAGTTGTTCGTCAGCGAATTAAAGTTTTACACGTAACCGTTTATCAGCCGTGAACTTACGCATGGATTATTCATTGCTTTATGACCAATCACAAATTAGATCTTGAACTTTCAGGAAATATTGAATGAGGTTTTTTCCAGCTACAAGACAGAATTGGTGTGCACTATTGAAATCTGAAATACAGCTCAGTGAACATTCAAAAGGCGTCAATGACACTTTTTATTTTTTTTTTCTTTCGGTCTTTAAATATTTAGCGTCTTAATGTTAACCCCAATCTATTTGCGTAAGGCAATTAAAGATACTCTCTAGTTTCCGGCTCTGCTTTTGTTTTTTTTATTTGTTTCGTATTTGATTGTACCAAGCAAAAAATACATCTCAGATTTGTTTTACTGAGATATTTATGGCATCATGTATTTTCTATTTCTTGCCTTGACGGTAGGACAATTTTCGGTCGGGAGGCTAAACAATGGAGTTCGCAATGAAGGAGCAAAGTGGTCTATCTGATGCGGGCGCATGATGAACTGCTCAAAAACTCCAACTCTCTTCCTTAAAGAAAAAAAAACTAATTGAAAGCAAACCAACTGACCACGTAGAGGTGACTGTAAAAACAGCGGTTGACTTGTCTTCAAGATTACCCGAAGCCGTGTTTTTCAGGTGGCCACTTGTTAACGAAAACGGGGCAAGGAACAATATTGTAAATTTGATGATAAATAAACTACGAGAAGATATATAGACACTTTAAATGTCTTTTAAACTAAGTCATTTCGACATTTTCACTGAATCATTTGATGAAACAAAAAATAGGTCTGGTTTACCATCAATTTACGTCAAAGAAGCAATTTTTAGTCATTCATTACTGACAACTCGTTTTTATAAGTTAAAAAGACATTCATTCTTAACAACAGTCCTATTAATACAATAAACCATTTAATAAGAAGTTAAAAACCATTGAAGCAAAGTTTCCTAAACTCAAAAAGCTAGATGAAAGTATTTTCACGCACACTGAGGTTTCCTTGCCAAGTTATAATTTTTAATTCTGCCTTGAATAAAGTTCGTTCACCCTGCTTTATCCATCCCAACAATGCCCTCAAATCAATGGCCGCATTCAAACGGATTACCGTTTTATCCCGCTGTTTTTCGTCATTAACAGGCAGTCAACTATCAGAGCCTTTGCAATTATTGACGGGTTGACAATACTCGGATAAACTGTATATTGCAAAGCTAGATACAAATAAAATTAATTTGTCAATTTGCTGTTACACTTCTGGATACAAATGACAGAAACGCTTCTTTTCAGTCGAGAACAAGTTATCACTTATTA